TTAATTGGACCACTGATGATGGAAGTGTTTAATGAGGTATTACTGGCAGCTAAGATGCCAGACTCGTGAAGGGGAGCATTGATTTCGCTGATCCAGAAGGAGGAATCTGACCACAGATATATTAACAACTACAGACCTATTTCACTCCTAAACACCGATTATAAAATATTCTCCTCCATTATAGCCAATAGACTAAAACAAGTTTTAAACCCGTATATACAAGAAGACCAAAATGGATTCCTCCCGACTAGACAGATAAAGAATAATTTAAGAACAGTAATAGACGTTTTAGAATTTTATGAAGCCCACCCTGAGAAACAATCCGCACTTATGTTTTTAGATGCAGAAAAGGCATTCGACAACTTAAATTGGCATTTCTTAATTCAAAAAATTTATAATATGAATTTAGGCACTAAATTTGAAAATATCATAACAACAATTTATGATACACAGCAGGCCAACATCTTAATAAATGGGGAACACACAGGTCCAATAAAAATAGAAAAAGGAGTTAGATAGGGTTGCCCTCTTTCACCTCTTCTCTTTATATTCGCTTTAAAAACACTCTTAACACGTATTAGGCAAAATCCCGAAATCAAAGGATTGAAAATTAAAACAGAAGAATACAAATTACAAGTGTTTGCTGATGATATGGTCTTTTTTTTGGAGGAACCTATAGAAAAAGGATATAAATTGATAAAAGAACTAGAACAATTCGGTGCAGTAGCAGGACTTAAAATCAATAGAAAAAAAAAACAAAATTAATGACCAAAAACTTAACAGAAGACCAGAAAAAGGAATTAGAGGTAAGTATGGGAATACAGGTAACAAAGAAAGTTAAATATTTATGAATATGGCTAACACCACAATGTAAGACACTCAAAGAGAATAACTATGACAAATTGTTGTAACTAGTAAAGAAAGATTTAGAATCATGGAGTAGGTTGCAACTTTCACTATTGGGCAGGATTGCTTCTATCAAAATGAATATTTTACCAAAATTCTTATACCTATTTCAGACGATTCCAATTAAATTGCATAAATTTTTTTTTTGAAGAACTTAATAAGATAATACTCAAATTCATTTGGCAAGGAAAGAAATCTAGAATTAATGTAAAGGCATTACAGGACTTGAAGAGTAGCACTTCCAAATTGGGAACTATACTATACGGCAGCTGCTTTAGTATGGTTAAAAGATTGGGTGAACTTACTTAACAAAAGAACGCTATTATTAGAAGGCCACGACTTGCAGAGAGGTTGGCATGCCTTCTTATGGGAAACCCAATCAATCATATTTTCATAGACACTTAATTAGAGATTCACTATTAACCATTTGGAAAACAGTATGGAAAAACACTATTTAAAAGTACCGATTTGGCTATCGACAATGGAGGCAATGGTTCACCCCAACAATTTGGACATTACAAAAATGATCAAATATAAAGACTTATTAAATGCACAAGGAAAATTGAAAACACGACAAGAACTACAAGACCGGGGATTTAAAATCGATCAGTGGGTATATCTCCAAATCCAGATATAAACAAGATAATAAAGATTTCGGAATTAATAACAAACTTCAGCACTTAGATAAAATTTTACTAGGATCAAATAAAAAAAATATAACTAAATTTTATAACTACCTACTGGAAGTAGAATTAGAAGAAGAGACAGTCAAAGGGAACATGATAGCTTGGAGTAGGAATGTTCGATGGAGTATCACATTAACAGAATGGGAAAAGATTTGGAACAGAAACAATAAGATCACCAAATCCGCAGCTTATAAAGAAAACGCTTACAAAATGTTTTACAGATGGCACCTTCCTCCTTCGAGGTTAGCGAAGATGCACCCCAACCCCAAAATGTTGGAAATGTAAAAGTATAGATGGAACCTTTTTTCATATGTGGTAGTCATGTAAGGAAACCCAGAAATACTGGCAAAGAGTTAGAAGGTGGCTAGAAGAGATAACAAAAGAACAGATTGAATATAAACCAGAGTCTTTCCTGTTAGGGATTTTTGACAAACAGCTATCTAAAAAAGTGAAATATATAACAATACATATCTTAACAGCGGCCAGACTAACGTTTGCTCAGTGCTGGAAATTACCTCACATACCTACCGAACAGATGATCATCCAGAAAATCTCAGACTGTGCAGAAATGGACAAACTAACCCTAGCCTTAAAAAATAAAGATTCTTCAACATATTACAACAATTGGAATTGCTGGTATAAATGGTTAAACCAAAGATAGACTATATATTATAAAGTTAAAAAGAATGGAACAAACTTATATGAGTGCAATCTAAATATAGATATGGATAAGATGTGTGTATCTGATATAAAATAAGAAGAGAAAAGATCTTACAAACTGTCGAAAATGAGAATGTTTTTAACTGTTCACTTTCTCTGCTTTCTCTTTCCTTCTTTTGCTTTTCTTTTCACGTTTCTTTCTTTTTCCTTTGTTCTTTTCTGCCTTTTCTATTTGTGTATGTGTTGTTGATTTGTTTTTAATTGTACATTCAATAAAATTTGGTTTTTTTTTTAAAAAAAGAAATCTTCAGAAGCAGGTACTTCCAAGGGAGCAAAAATAAACATAGTGAATACCAATGTGTGCAGGAACAGAATAGCATTTGGCTAGGATGGCATAAGGCTCCTGCCTTGACCGGGGGTTGGACTTGAAGATCTCCAAGGTCCCTTCAAGCTTCATGATTCTAAGAATAATCTCACACTGTGTTGTTCTTTGAGCTTCACATAACTTCTTATGCTCCTTCATCAACCCATTTGTAATTCCCAAATTCTTCAAGATTACAGAGACAAAATAGAATAGAAAATCACTCATTTTTATGGCATATTAAGATTATGCAAGACTGAACATAGTTATTTTGCGTTTAAAGAGCCACCTAACATCCAACTACTCTGGGCAATTGTATTTTTTTTTTTAAGCAAAAGCCAAAAATTACCACAATGATCTTCCAGTCACTGGAAAAGATGCCCTTCCCAGAGGAATAATATGGGCATTTTCAGTATCAAGTGCAATTTGCACATTTGTCTGGTTAGACTATAATGTTTCATGCAGTGGCCTGCATGGTTCATTGCTACCCACAGCCTTCTTACCTCATAAAGTCTGAATAGACTGCCATATAATGACAGGCCATGTCAATGCGGATGGATAATAAGTAATGAAATCAGTAATGAAATCAACATTAACACACATTATCTATGAACTCCATTCTTTCCTCTTCTTAGTCTGTAAAATATTGTCACCATTCTTTTGAGCTAAGAAATGTCTTTTTTTGCAACATTATACAAATAATGAAGTATACAATTAAAATCAATACCAGTTCAGAACTGTTAATAGCATGTCTCTACCCCTTGAGGTGGAAGGGGTAGCATTCTACAACAGGGTTATCAAACTTCCGGCCCACAGGCCAGGTATATCATGCGCTGGCCACGACCACACCTGGTTTAGTGAAGGGGAAAAAAGTCCCAATATGTCACATGATGCTGCCATGATGACATAAGTTTGACACCCTTTCAACAAGGGAAGGCAAATTAAAGGAAATGATTGTAGTAATTATAATATTGTAGATATTTATTCTCAAATTGTATGCTTAATGTGCTTTGGTTCTTTTCTTCTATTTTACAATGTACTACAGTAAGTATAGATAAGTAAAGTCCTCTTTACTTTTCTCTGAATTATCTCTAGTTCCTTCCCTCCTTCCCTCCTTCCCTCCACCTCTCTCCCTCCCCCCTCCCCCCCATCAAAATGGTTCTCTGAATTATCAGTAATTAGGTTCAAATTTTTCATCCGTTCAGTATCTATTCCCCAGAGAAAAGGGATATCTCAGACTCAATGATGGCTGTGCTGAACTAAACCATGACAATATCTTTTTATGTTGCTTTCTATACTTAATCATGTTACAGCTGTTTACCAAATATTTCACACACAACAAATCAATTAAAAACAGTCTAAAGTGTATATAGTATAAAGGCAGCAGGGGATGGTGGCAGGAGGAAAACAGAAATGAAAGAAAAAACCATTCATCCAATATTTATATACAGAAAATCTGGAGTTTCTTTTTCCATTGTTAGAATAGCTTGCTTGCATCAAGACAGTTTTAAGAATAAGCTGCTTGGTTAAAAAAAACATCCAAATACTATAAAAGCTTCTTTGTATCTTGAACAAAAGAAACGATTATACATAAAAAAAAAATTCAATTTCCTTGAAAAGAGTTGTCCCTATTTAAGTTTATTGAAGTTTTAATTCATCACGTTCTAAGTTCAGCACTCCCTTTGGCCCCCTTTGCCCCTTTGAAAATGTTTTCCCCTTTCTTTCTTTTTTTCTTTTTGCAAGATAGCAGTGTGTGTGCAATTGTGTGTGTGTGTGTCCCCTCCCAAAGGCATGTCTCATAAATTATTGTGCCACTCTGAGAAACTATTCTAAATGGGATTTATACACTCCAGTATTTTTTTTAAGAATTTGTTTAGTTGGGTTTTTTTATTATGTTGTCTTTATATGTCATCACAGTAATAATGATTGCATTTTATTTATTGTGCCATCTTGTTCAAAATATTGCAGCCACAAGAAATATGGCAGGGTCTATTATTTTCTTATAGGAGTGGATTTGATGCAAGGTTCAGAGTGCTCCAGACAAGCCTAAAGATGCAGATAAAATCTCCTCTCTCTAAATATTTCCCACTCGTTTTGTTGATTCTGCTATATCTTCCATAAATTACAGATAGTACAGTCTCAGGCATAGATGTTTGGAGGTTAGCCTGTTTATAACAAATGAATCTCACTTTCAAATAAAGGGCATGTACGGGCTTATACTTTTGCTATGGATATCCATGAAACCTTGACCTTCCAACCAAATCTAATCTAGCATTCTTATCATCAGTTGGCAAATTTGTATGTGTGTGTGTGTGTAGCAAAAAGGCTGCAAGTTAATATTCACTTCAAAGTAACTAATAATTTCTTTCCATAATATTTTCTCTAAGGGTAGAACTATAGTTCATGACACACAGCTTAACAAAATACGAGATATCACCATTCCCTATCAACTGAAAGCCGGAGATTACATAATCATTCCAATGGCATCACCACAAAACCAAAAATTAAAGTTTCTTCTACGAATCTTTCTTAGAAGTCAAGGCAATATAAGGTAAAGCAATCACAATTAGAACATGAATAGTGTGAGGCAAAGAAAATCCACCTTTTCTTTTGCCGTTTAAAGAAATTTGGTACTCTTAAGGGCAGACATCCATTTGTCTTCTAGTTGTTTTATGACAAATTAAACCTGTTTAAAATAAACTTGCTGAACATTTGATGAGATTATTTGAACTATTTAGTACTTGACAATGATACTTTGCTCAATATTTGACAATACTTTATTCTCGTCATGGAGCAGTGTTTTACATTTGATAATATCTGATGATCAATACGGTGTAAAATGGAGAAATTGAATATGTTTGACAATTTGTATGTAATAATATGTAGCATTTAAAAAGATTTTTTTTATTGTTGATGAAATTGAATCATTTGAAAAGCTCCATTAGGATAAACAAATATAAATCTCCATATTACATGATATTTCAGTCTAATATAATTATGGTATTGATTATCAAATATTGGACCAGATAATTTGACCTAGGGCAAAGCTGTATTATCCTGGATCCCTTCACATTCATTTAACTATGCAGAGGGCTGTTACTAGAGTGTAATAAATAAAATTCTATTGTCTTGATTTATCAGACAATAAAACATAATTTTCATTCTGGATTTTCTTTTTAGAAAGTCATACTGCTTATGTGGACCTTGGTCCCCCTTGGGACAAAAGAATATTCTGTCAAAAAGAATTGTGGAAACACCCATAATTTAGTACTTGGGTGCAGATAATGATTTGTGCACTATTGCTTGATAAACACACATCAAGGTTGAATATGATAACACACTGTTCTCTCTGGATCTTGTAAGCAATAAATAAAAATAGTCTGTCCTGAAGCAGTTCTCATTTTTATGTGTGTGATTTTTCCCCCTTATAGGGAGCCAAGCAATGAATTCAGTTCAGAGATGACAAAGGTATGTGGATATAAAGAAGGGATGAGTTACCTGAGGGTGTACAACATTTGCAATCTCCAAACTTCTCAATATTGGAGGGCTTTTTTGAGGCAACAAATACATAAAATCCATACCTGAGGGACAATTTAAGCTGTTAGATATATTTAAGTCAGATGTTAAAGAAATAACAAATCCTAAAAAACTCCACCCAAAATTGCAGAAGAAAAGAAACTAGAAAATAATTGGCCCTTGGATCCCAAAATGTTGCCCCACCTCAATAGAAATAGTTGCACAGCCTTTGTAGACTGATTGACGTCTAAGGTTTAGAGATAACCATCTTCCTTTTGGGCCATTTCCTAGAGGTGAAGATTTTTTTTTACTTTAAATGAAAGACATCTATTATTGATGTGTTATGATTCAGACAGAATTGAAAAGCAGCTCTGGGTCTGAATCAGATGTGGTATTCAGCAGGTTCTGACCAGTTCTGGAGAAACCGTAGCGGAAATTTTGAGTAGTTCAGAGAACTGGTGATGACCTTCCTTTGGAGTGGGGTGGGAATGGAGATTTTACACTATCCTTCCCTTGCCGTGCCCACCAAGCCACATCCACCAAGCCACACTCACAGAACCAGTAGTAAAAATTTTTTGAATCCCACCACTGGTCTGAACCCTCTTGCAAGCCGCAGCAGTGACCCTGTATTTAGAAATGTAGAGACAAGGCTAGTGTCAGATCCGTGTATCTGTCATTTCTTCAGTGGAAGAAGAAAAGGGGGGGGGAGGCTGATAAAGAAATCCTTTCTTGATGTAACCTGAATATATTTAATCTTATATCGAATTTGTATAACCCACACATGATACAATGGAGGGAGAAAAGCCACATGGCCAGAACTATCACCTCTGAGTGGCTCAACCAGGAGATGAGAAGGTCATAAAAATTCCAGATTGTACTTTGGGAATCTCTTGAATAGTTCATTCTTAAAAGGGGGGGGGGGAATTAGGTATACCCTGGGAAACTGTGAAAAGATCGTTCCTTACAAGAGGGGTGGGGAGGAATTAACATACTGGCTTTTGTTTCACTAAATACACATCGAGATAAGGGAGGGGTTCTAAACTCCCTCATGTATCCCTGTATGCCTGAGAGACCTCAGACGCTGCTTTGAACTCCTACAGGAATTGTCTCATCTCAATAAAGAATTCCTTCGTGATACATTTGAATACATTTTCAGAAGTTCATTCTAGTTGAGTGAATGGGAAAAGTTCTGTAGCCTGACAGCTAGCATTAGATTTTATATTGGGGCAGTGCTAAAATCATGATTTTATTTATTAACTATTGAAGCAACAGATGTTCATGCTGATCCTTAGAAAGGCCTTTGGGAGTATGGCACACCTAAAGAATTTCTGCCTTCCTTAGGCCTGCATGGATGCCTCTGTTTTCAAGTGCCATTGTTACCAGAAGTAGTTGGTTGTCACTATTGAAAGGCTCTTTTAAGTGGTAGCATCCCAATTACAGTACTGTTCTTTCATAGAGGCTCATCTAGTGCCTGTTTTGATGTTATCACAGTGCCCACCTTAATCTTTCCTGGAATGCTAAAGCTTTATTCCAAGGTAGATCTTGATTATGCTGAGCTTGTATATTAGACATCATAATTATATCATGTTTTAAATTATTATTAGTATTAATCAGAGGGAACTAAGCAAATATACTAAGCAGTATATTTCTCCATTATCAGCAAAATGAAATACGTTGACAGTTTGCCTCTTTGGCATTATTGAAAAATGTAGTAAAATTTTTTGAATCCCACCACGGATACAGCACCAGTGAGAATGTGCCAATTTCCTTTCTTTCAGACAGTGGTGAGCTCTTTGGTGTTTAACCAGCACTGAAGGGCTCATCAGCTGCATATCTCAAAACAGGTTATACTCAAGAGCATTCTAGGTTTATGGATGCTCTTTTGTTTCATTCCACTTCTTCCTTGCTCCCTAGATTGGGCATTTTCTCCAGGGGTGGATTCAAATTTTTAACAACTGGTTCTGTGGGCGTGGCTTAGGTGGTGGGCAAGGCTTGGTGGTCATGTGACTCGGACATGACTTGGTGGTCATGTTATTGGCTGGATGTGGCGAACTCAGTATCACTCACATCGAGGCACGCATCTCCTCGCCTGGCCTCTCATGACTGTGGGGATGTTGCAACAGTCATAAGTGTGAAAAATGGTCTTAAGTAACTTTTTTCAGTGCCATTGTAACTTTGAATGGTCACTCCACACCACAAAGTACCAGCAAAGGAGGGGGAAAAGGCTCCAGAGACGTTCCTGCCAAGAATGTAATAAGGGTTAATGGAGAGGCAGTTTCTGTAAGCAACACCAAAATGTTTCCTTCCTGCCTTCCTTACAGGATTAGTCCAGTAATTTTTTCTAACAACCGGCTCTCCAAACTGCTTAGAATGTTAACAGCCGGTTCTAGCGAATAGGTGTGAACTGGTAGAATCCCACCCCTGGTTTTCTCCCCACAAATTACTGCGAGCTGCCCTCATCCTTGAGACTTTGTTGAAAACTTGCCATTTCACAAAGCTTTCATAAAATAATATCCTTCCTTTTTTGTTCTTTACCTGGTTGCTGGTATTGTGCAGTCTTTTTTCCCCTAGATCATGCACTTACAAATGGCTTGGGGCAATTTGAAGTTTTGACATGGGATGCCACAGGATGGAATTTAATTGGATAAATAAGAAAGACATGAATGATCAGATAATAGGACTGTTTTTGTCACTGTCAGGCTTTTGAGGTTGGTTGCACAATGTTGCCTGTTGTAAATGGCTAGAAACATAATGAATGAATAATAATGAGGTTTCTCATGTGGACTGATTTTTATACATGCATTTTTTTATTTTTATTTTTTTGGGATATAGGATATGCTCTTCTGGAATCCAGACAACTATGAAAGTGTCTTCTTCAGATATGCTTATCAGGTTTGTTGAATAGAAATAAAAGAGTGAATCAACAAGGCTTGTAAAATTGAGAAAGAGAGTTTTCCCATCTTGCTTTTAATCCATGCTTCAGCCATGCAGATCTCAAGGGTGTCTCTCAAAATGGTATTGATTTGCTAGTTGTTATGACAAATCAGACAAGGGACCTGGCTACACAATAGATGGTTTGGAGTTGATTGCTTGTGGAGAGAAAGTTGTTCCTCAAACAAGCAATTAACCGTAACCCTTAGCTACAAATAGATGTGGCTTCCTGGATCATATTTAGTCTCTCAGAATTACTTCCAGTTTGTACTTTCCACATTTGGAAAGCAGGCATCAGTCAATGTTTGGGTAATTGATTTGCATTCTTTCTGAGCCAAGCTGCATGTGTTCACAGGAGATGCTCTTAATGGCTTAATAAACTGTTATAAAAGACTCCTTGACTTAGTCGAGAGAAAAATTGCTGCCAAAAGCTTCTGTACAATAGACCTCTCACAGCTAATAGTTGTATCAGCACATAAAAGGTGAAAACAGCAGTGCTGACTGTGAAAGGTGCACACAGTTTGTCTCCAGAAGCAGTCAGGGCAAGGAAGGAAAATGATAGCAGTCTCCTGAGTCAAAGCAAGTCCTTCCTGGAAGCCAGATACTTCCAGCTTCTATGCATCTTTTAGGCCTCCAGTTAAAACTCTTTGAACATGCCAAATCATCCTATTTTCTTTTCTAATAATCACACAGAAGCTTTAGTCGAGACCTAACTTGAAAAAAAATTGGAAGACTAGAAATGGCTTCAGGTACAGATAATCTAAAAGTGGCTCTGTATATAGCCACTGAGTTTTTATATTATATGTACCCAAAACTATCTGTCTGTCTGTCTGTCTGTCTGTCTATCTATCTATCCACTAAATGTAGATAGATAGATGACAGACAGACAGATAGATTGATAGATTGATTGATAGAGATAGATGGATGATAGATAGATGACAGATAGATAGATGACAGACAGACAGCTTATAAATTGAACACAATTCTTTGTTTTTGTTTGTAATTTTTATTTGTAAACTTCTGCCATCCTTTGAATCCCCCAAGCCACTGGTATTTTTAACCTTGATTTTGGCTTAACGAAGGAAATGGTGGTCACCATCTAAATCGCTGTGGAGTGAAACACTCATCTGTGAAACACTGTGGAGTGAAACAATCACCTGTTTTTCTCTGTGTGTTTCAGTTTTATTTGCTTTATTTTATTATCTTTTTTTATGTGGAAATAGAAAGCTCATTCAAGCAGACAGCATATAAGTTGCTGCTTTCTCTCTGTTTGGTAATTTTCAAGGCAACTGAATATTATGAGAATCTACTTCTTAAATATTTGTTACTAAAATTAGCTGATTATTTGCCTATAGAATATGATAAACAAAACATCTCTGTCTCTCTGAATGTGTATTTGTATTTCCCAATAATAAATGAATCAAGGGAACTTAGAGAAGAAACAATATCTTCAAATTAGCACGTAAATAAATGATGAAATCTAGATTTTGTATCTTTCTCGGACATCTGTCAGGTGCAACTCTTTCTTGCATTTTTAAAATGTGCTATCTGGAACAGTGCAAAAATAAACCACCAAACTACAAATGAAGCCTGGGGGAAAAAGGGGGTAGGTGGGATAGAAAGAAGGGCAAAAGAAAATGAGCTAGTGGGAAATTATCCCAAATAAATAAAAATAAAAATTATTTCTATAGATGTAAAATTAAGAACTACTGTGAGAAATAAGACAAAAAGATTCCTACGCTTCAAGTGCTATCTAAGATTGAACCTGGGATGTTCTGCCTGGAATGGGCAGTGACCTTAGACCATAAGTCCTTTAATTAAGTGGATATAGCAACAAGACAAGATTCCAAGGAACCACACCCCTCATAAGCATTTTTTGTTTGTGTGTATGTTTGTTCTACGTTAGAACTCCTACTTAGATGCTTCACAATTACAAAGGATTCTGAATGATGTTCTTCTAAAAGGTAAAATTCATAGTTTGTGTCCAGTTTTAATTGTTATCTATATCTGATTCTGTCCTCTTACTTTTCCTTTGTGTTTGGTTCTATTCAGTTGCTGTTTCTTCAGTAAGAGGTATAATTGGTACACTGGGTCATATTAAGTCTGTTTATTCACTACTGTGGGGACAAAGACGTCAGCTGAGCTCCTGTTAAACACTGCCTGTGTCTCAGTAGGACAGGGGCTCCAATTTGCTTAGCAAAAGGAATTTCTTATCATTAGAACTCAAAAGTCAGAATAACAGAGTTAGAAGGAACCTTTGGAGGTCTTCTAACCCCTTGCTCAAGCAAGAGACCCTGTACTATTTCAGACAAATGATGGCCAATATCTTCTTAAAAACTTCTTGTGTTGGAGCATTCATGACTTCTAGAGGCAAGTTGTTCCACTGATTAATTGTTCTCACTGTTAGGAAACTTCTCCTTTGTTATGTCCCTGGAACTCTAAGGAGTTCCCACTCAGGTCCGTTCGCGTTGCGGGGGTGGCTGCCCCCTCGTTCATTGGTTGGTTCTCCCCAGCAGCCAGCTATAAAAGCAGGCTGCGGGGTCCAACCAGTTGCTGATCGCTGCGAGCCAGTTCCAGGCTTGGCTAGCACGTTCAGTCCTTTATTATCTTAATAAAGTCTTTGTTGCACCCATGCCCTGGTTCAGCCTCTCATTACCCAAACTCAACATCCTTAGTTCTAGGTTGCTTCTCTCCTTGGTTAGTTTCTATCCATTGCTCTTTGTCTTGCCTTCTGTTGTTTTGGAAAATAGGTTGACCGCCCTCTTCTTTCTGGTAGCCCCTCAAATATTGGAACACTGCTATCATGTCATCCCTAGTTCTTCTTTTCACTAGACTAGATAAACTCAATTGCTGTAACCTTTCTTCATATGCTTTAGCCTCCAACCCTCTAATCATCTTTGTTGCTGTTTTCTTCATTCTTTCCAGAGTCTCTGCATCTTTTTTATAATATGGTTACCAAAACTCAATGCAATATTCCAAGTGTGGTCATAATAAGACTTTATTGATTAGCAGTAAAGCTTTCCAGTTTCCCACATTCCTCCCATCAATCATTTCCAGATTCCCTGACTTCCAGTATGTGATATAGGTGAAAAGAAAAATAAATAAATCTCCTTTGGAGGCCTAACTATAATATCCCTTCTTTGGCTATATATATGTATTGTATATACTGATTGTAATTGATTCACCTGAATGAGGTGCTTTGCCTCATACAGATACTTCAGCCAATAAGGCATCAAAGCAGAGCTGATCTGTTGCTTGGCTTTGATGAAAGTGGCTTCTGTTAATGTTCAGAACGCACTTTTAAAAAGTGAATCAAGCTTCAGCAACTGTTCTGCAAATAAGAATTGGGGCATTGTGACATCTCACATAAGCAATTTGAAGAAGTCCTCTATTTGAACCTTCACCACAAGAAAATGCCTCTTGAACGGTCTGCACAAACCTAATTGGGAATGAGGATATTTCTACAATGACATATATCTTTGGAAGTCCCTGGACTTCTGGAAAATCTGAAAGATTTATTTGCTCTGATGTAAATTTAGCTGGCCCCAATATTGTCTAGCAATCCGAATGCACTGACTCATCCAGGATTTTGTTGCTTAACAATTATTCCAGATCTAGAGTCCTTTGCAAAGGAACTTTGCTAATGAATACATTTATATATGGACTTTTAATCATTTTTATTGTCTTGCTTATTTTATGTCACATTGTTTTATTGAAATGTGTATTATTATTTTTTCTATGCACAGCTTAAAGATCCTATAGAAAGAATAGAATAACAAAAATAACAATAAGAAGAATTCAGTAGTCTGCATTTTAACTCAGATGCTACTTTCCAATTTCTTTTATCTCACTAATTAAGATTTACACGGTGATTATTGACTTTAGATTTGATTGTGAATTTTAGATTATTGAGTCATAATCTTTTTAGCCCTGAAAAAATGGGCTAGAACTGTATTCAATATTAAACAAACATGCCACAACATTACGATAAAAATTGGTATTTCAGACTGTCATATTTTGATATAGGAATGTGCAGATAGATAGACAGCTATTTAATTGTGAATTTTACATTATTGAGTCATAATTTTTTAACCCTGAAAAAAATGGGCTAGAAATATATTCAGTATTAAACAAACAAGCCCACAACATTACTATAAAAAATTAGTATTTCAGACTGTCATAGAAATGGATAGAGATAGATGATATGTAGATTATGTATGTATGTATGTATGTATGTATGTATGTATGGTATTCAGCTTTGTTCGGGTATTTTCCCACATCATTATAGTTGTGCTTTTAAAGTTGTAGAGATGTTTCAGCAGAATCTCATCTGCCATCATCAGGCTTGTGTATTGTGTTCGAACACAGTACACAAGTCTGATGATAGAAGATGAGAGCCAGAGAGTTTTCATATATAGGTCTTTCCTTTCCTGTCTGGTTAATTCTTTCCCCTTCTGTTCTCTTTTGTGTCTCCTCTCCCTCTCCCTCCCACATATACTTTCCACCTCTTTCAATTGTAGTTACCTTTCCCCTTTGCTCTGGTTCCATCCTGCTTACCCCACTCCCCCTTAACTTCTTGTTATTCCTGCTGGAAGGAAGGAGGGAATCTTTCTGGAGCTACTTGAAGGTTTCTGTATTTGTGCATGAAAGAAACCATGGTTAGCATATGTGAGGATGTTGTAAATGGAATGATTTGTTCTATAGACAAATACATTCAATAAATACTGTAGTGATTAATCCAAATACAAGTAGCCCTCAACTTATAACCATTTGCATTAGAAGTACAACAGCATTAAAAAAATTGACTCACAACTAGTCCTTGCACTTATGACCATTGCAGCATTTCCAGGGGTCAAGTAATCAAAATTCAGGCACTTGGGAACCAACATGTATTTATGATGGTTGCAGAATTCTGGGTCAGGTGACTGACATTGGAGATCTTCCCAGCCAGTTTATAACAAAGTCAGTTGGGATGACCAAATGATTCTCTTAACAACTGCAGTAATTTTGTTAATAGCAATGGTAAAATGTTAAATTAATTGCCTTGCTTAGGCGGTGGAAATTCTGATCCCAATTGTGGTCAAAAGTCATAAAACAACCCATAATATAAATTTACTTTTGTCCAAAGTGTGACTTCTTCCCAGGATATACTGTATAATAACATATACACCCATATTTCTCTGTCTATTGGAGATAAGGGTTCAACTGGAAGTGGCTATTCTAGACAAAGTGAAGAAACTGGACATTTATTTATTTTTAATTTTTTAGTATCTACTTTTCATTTGAGGAATCATCTTAAATTTGATATTGACTTCCTTTGAGTAAAGTACGGTATTAAGACAAGCCATTGTGTCTTAATATTGTGCCCTTTCTCTCTCCAGCCCAATCTATTCCTGCTGTCAGGAAAACTGTTTTATGTGTATTAAAACCATACTTTTTGTCAATCTCTCTGTGATACACAAGGCATGATCCAGCTCTTTCCCAGATGCTCATGTATTTCACAAAATACTGTGAGCAACAATCACGCTGGAGTCCAATTTTCCTGGTTTCAAAGTAAGTCATTTCAGTGTGGTGTGACTTCTAACCCCTCGTTCTTGATGTATGTTGCTTTTTTATTTGTCTGCTTATAGATCTAATGGCTGGCCTGGGAACTGGAGATGGATTCAGCTTTGATTCATGCAAAAGCCTTTTAGCTCTGATGGATGTATCTTTTCAACAAATGCAATAAACTTTCCTTATGCTTCCCCTTCCTTGCTTTGAGTTATAGCTGTGCTGAGTTTCCCATTGCACAAGTGCTGTGAATAACTATTTACCATAAGATCTGCCAAGTATTTATGAAGAAATGCTGTGAATGGCCATGATCTTCATCTTTGGGCTTTTTTCTCTGCCACAGATTTTTACATGGAAGGAGAAGATTTCTTTCTTTATTTTTTTATTTTTTTATTTTGATTTGGCAATTGCTTACAAGATAATAGGTATAAGTATATACATAATTATGAATACATGAAATGGGTACATATAAGAAAAATAAAAAGAAACAATAGGACAGGGATGGTAGGCACATTGGTGCGCTTATGCACGCCCCCTACAGACCTCTTAGGAAAGGGGTGAGGTCAATAGCAGACAGTCTAAGGTTAAAGTTTTTGGGGTTTGGGGAAGAAACCACAGAGTCAGGTAGAGTATTCCAGACATTGACCACTCTGTTGCTGAAATCGTATTTCCTGCAGTCAGGTTTGGTGCAGTTAACCTTGAGTGTGTATCTATTGTGTGCTCTTGTGTTGTTATGGTTGAAGTGGAAGTATTCATTGACAGGTAAGTCATTGCAATGTATGATTTTATATACCATAGTTAGATCAGACCGAAGACGGCATAATTCATAATAATCCTCCCCAAATGTAACTTTTTTCAGTTTCAGAAAGCCCCAATCCCCTGCCCCCAATCCAAAGCAAACAAACAAAAAATGGATTATATTTGTGTTAATAAATTATTGGGGGAAATCTTAGTATTTAATCTTCTACCCCTATAAGAAAGCTTTCATTAAGGACTAAATACAGATGGATTGGTTGTATATTAATAAAAACATCAGACTAAATGAGGATCCAAATTCACTAATGACACTTTGAGATTTAATCAATCCAATTGCCCTTACAACAATTATAATTTCTGTGATTCTGTCTTATAGAAGGACCATGTATGCCACCCAGCCCAACTTCTTGCTCCACAAAAGAATCCAATTTAAAGTTTCTGTAACAGATGGCCTCTGCCTGAACATGCAGTCAAGGGAAGGCCCAGTGGGTTAGGGTGTTCTGACTGAATGGTGGGGAGATGGTCAGAGCTGAAGAGGCTTCTTGGGTGAGAAGTGAAATGTCTTCAAAGAACAACCAGAAAATCCAGTTGCTTCTTGAAATACACACCTTTGGGACAACCATGATCTGCGTGACTAATAATCTCCATAGACATTCAGTCAAGGGAAGATTCCCTCATCATTTAAAAATACTTTTATTTAAGGATTTCCTAATTTTCAACTTGAAACTGATTTCCTCTCCCACATATTCTTGTTTTGTCCTGGGATGATATAAAATAGGCCTTGGGAGTCTTTTGTGTTATCCAATTTCCAGGTCGATCGATCTGTTCAGAAAATTTTTATCTTTGCCTCAATAAGATTTATTTTATTTTCTTTATTTATTTTAATTTGTCACTCTCTTACAAGATAATAGGTATAAGTATATACATAGTTATGAATATATGGATACATATAAGAAAAAAAAAAGAAACCATAGGATAGGGATGGTAGGCACGTTGGTGTGCTTATGTACACCAACAAACCTCTTAGGAAAGGGGTGAGGTCAATAGTAGACAGTCTAAGGTTAAATTTTTTGGGGTTTGGGAAGAAACCACAGAGTCAGGTAGAGTATTCCAGACATTGACCACTCTGTAGCTGAAGTCGTATTTCCTGCAATCAAGTTTGGTGAGGTTATGTCTTTAGTCTTCTCTTCACAGGACTCAGTTTGTAGTTTTGTGATCATTGTTCCAATTTATCTGAATATTTAGTGAACTAGATTAGATATAATGTGTAAAACAGAGTATGATCAATAGAGGAATGCAGGAAATCACAGGAAAAAAAAACCGTATACTTCTGTGGCTATATCTTAAACCTACATTTAATCTCCTACGGAGTGACAGTATATCATTCCAGTGCCCGACACATGGTTTGTAGCCAACTACATTTTCTGTCACTTTTTTAACAAGTACTATTAGAAAACCAGATACTCTCCATTCTATATCTGTACGTTTTATTTCTTTTTTCCCACGGGAAGAACACATTTCTGTTAACTTTCATTCTGTTATTTTCAGCCTGTTCTGTTAATTTAGAAAGTCTGTTTTGAAGTAGGTTTCCATTTTCTAACATATTAGCTATCTCATCCAAATGTGTGTTGTCTACAAAAGTGTTAAGCATTCCCTTCAGTTCTTAATCAAAGTAATGTTGAAGAGTACAGGAACCTGTATTGGCCCTTATGGCATTTCACTTGGTATCTCATTCTAGTTTGATGAGGAATCATTGATGAGCACATCCTATTAGAACTAATTCTGCATCTACCCAATTACCATCAAGCAAAACATAATGGGCTTGCTAATCAGAATGACATAAAGTACTTTGTGATGCCTTTCTGATGTAAAGATATACTGTAGTACATTTATAGCATTCCTGCAAGTGCCAGATTTAAAAAAAAATAGATAAGTTTAGTCTGGCAGGATTGTTTCTCTCAAATCTAAACTAGATTGTTTTCAAGATATTTATAAAAAAAATCTCATTAATTCTTTAAAAGAATTTTAGTATTATTACTAGTTCCCTGGATCAGCCTTTCTCTCTTTTCTGAATAAATGAGCATCATTTCCCTTCTTCCATTGGCCTGGAATTTTATCAATGTCATGATTTCTAAAAGATAGAAAAGTGATAATAATAATAATGATCATTCCTTTCATCCATGCAGTGATATTGACAGACTCTTATATAGCATAAGTGGATGTAGAAAGTTTCAAGTGCATCAGTAGAAGAAAAAAGAGCATTGGAACAGTATCTGAAAGGATAATGAAGAAGATGCCCTGAAGCTAGTACATCAGGTATTCCTACTGAATACTAAAGACATCAAACTGGCCAAAAAGAAAGGCCAAATAAAAATAGAAAAGAGACATGGCAAGGCAAAGCATTATACGATCAGTATGTAACAAATTAGCAGGAAAAACAGATAACACAAGACCTGGAATTGGTTAAGAGCAGGAAAGCTGAAGAAAGAGGCACAGGGATAACTACAAACATTGGCATGACTAAGTAGCAACAATAGTGTATTAGAATGCCTGCAAGAAATACCATTTACCTGCAGTAAAGAACTGGTGGGATCACAAACTAAAATAATAGAAAATGAAGAAGCTAAAGTACTCTGAGATTTTAAAATACCGACTGCCATGTAATATTTCAGACTTAACAATTGTCAATAAGAAAAAACGAAAAAGTCTAGATAGTGAAGTTGTAATACCTGGACACGGCAGAATATAAGGGAAATAATTGGAGAAAATAACAAAATACAACGTTCTGTAAATAAAGTAGAACAGCTGTGGCAAAAGAAAACGAAGGTAGTACTAATAGTAACAGACACCTTAAACGTAACCCTGAAACATCTGGAGCATCAATTGAATTGAATGCCATCAGCTTTGATGAAATCACCATCACTCAATTGCAAAATGCACTTTTACTTGGACAGTAATGTGATGATACCTTTAACAACATCTGCTCATCCCAGATCCTTAGGAATGGCTCAATCTAATCTGGCTGACTATAAAACCAATCATAATATTAATAATTTATTAAATGTGTCTGCCACCCAACTCCCAGTGACTTTGGGTGGCTATTCTAACAATTTATTGCACCTTCCTCTTACCATATTTCTTTAATCAGGCTGATTGGGTAATGTTTAATCTTCTGCTGAATTTTCTAAGCTTGGAATAAAAAAAAATCAGTACCTTCAAACTCAAGGTTGCAAAGGATAGAATGGATGCAGTCAAAATTGCTTCATCCTGACAGACAGACAGTTCTAGCCCTGAAACGCTTATCTAGAGCTCTGACAATGAGAAGTAACCTTTAGTATAAACCATTAAACAATTACATAAAAGTTTGGGTTGGAAAGCAAATTTAGAAGGCTTCTGTGACCAGACTACCATTAACTGCCTCAGTCACATTCTGGAAAGTAAAGAGATGCTCAAGCATTAGCTCCAAAATTTGGTGGTCTTTTCTACTTGTTTTTCTCTCTTTCTTTTATTTCCTTCTGAGTTGCCTCTCTCTGTGTCTCTCTCTCTCTCTGTCTGTCTCTCTGTCTCTGTCTCTGTCTCTGTCTCTCTCTCTCCCCTGCAACATCAAATTTAAAAATATTTCAGACAGAGTTCACTATTAGAACAGGAAAAAAATAGGAGTCTCTGGAGAGACTGTACCAAATCCCTTATTCTGTACTGTGGATTAGGAAGATGTGTAGGATTCTTCTTGTTGCAAATCCTGCTGAATTAAACAACAGACAGATAGATGGGCAGTAATCTCTGGCCAGTGAGGAGAGCCAGAGGCATTCTGGTAGGGAGCTCAACAGATCAGATATATATGAGCTACCACACATCCAGGTCTGCTTCTTTGAGGCATATGGTATTTTGCATATGGCATATGTCTCTTAAGCAGTCTGATCTACTATTTAAAAACACACAGAGAGAAGCATTACTTGCTGGATGGAAAGCAAATATCTCAGGTAGATTCTCATCAAGTTTTTGCTCTGTACACGGAGAGGCTTTAGCTCTGAGGTGTTTTACTTTGTTTTGGTTAGAGAGGCATTAAAACCTATAGCTATTCTCAGTTATTCTCAGTTTAGAAAGAATTGGGTCACAACATAGTAGTCAATAAGGCAAAAATGCAGATTCTGATACTTCTCCAAGGTGAGCTGTAGTGTTTCCTCAGTTTATATCTATTCCTCATTTATAGCTATGGCTTCATTTATTTCACACCTGATTTAAAACTTGACTACAAATACAGATAAATGCTAATGGAAAACTTTCACTCCAAGAATTTAAAAGACTGTGGGGAGCTTTCAAGAAATATGAGGTATGTATGAAATTTATTCAGTTTCTTAACTGTTACCATGACTATCTTTGTCCTATTATTTGTAAAGTATATTTCAGTTCCCAATCTTTGTGTCATTAGAAAACTGTGATCTTCCATAGTAATTACAAATAGATTTTTTTTCCTGTTTTAATATATTATTTTATATATAAATATTTTTCAGGATATATTTGGAAGAGAGGATGAAAACAATTCTGGATTCCTAACGATTTCAAATTTGCAAAGAATTGTTCAAGAAACAGGTAGCTGATAAACAGATGTTGCTTGAAAATATATTCAAAGTTATTTTTGAAGCCTGATAAATTAAAAAAAACAAAGTAGAAATCAACAGGGTAGCTTTTTTCTCTGTTCCAGTTTTATTTTAAATGGAAACTCATTGATTTTAATTTAACTCTCATTTTCACTCTTCCCCACTGAATGCAACTTCAAAAGTATTTGTCTTAACACTGCCATCTGCTGATAATGAAGGAATTTTAAAACACCCCCAAAACCTTCCCTTTGCGGTTTCATGTTTACTTCCTCCATTTCTGAGTTGTAACTGAATTGTTTGGTGGATGTATTTATATATGCAATCCATTGTATTGTACAGAAGATGCTAATATCCACTAATGTACTTTTAAGATGAACATTTACAAGTTTCTATGGCAGTGCAAGTTACAACATTGATTTCCTGTGTGAGGAAATAAAAAGGAAGAGGTAAGCAAATGCCAGAGAGGAAGAGGAGAACAATAATAAGGAAGAACGGAGAAGGAAATTGTTAACTCTCTAAGAGCACTATGATTTTTATCACTAATGTACTGCATCAATAGAGATACAAAAGGTATTGTAATAATCAAGGCAATACAGTATAGTCCTGAATGGTAAACTCCATGCTGTGCACTTCTTAAAGGCAAGCAGCAAACAGTATAGTTAATGAACTGAATAAAAGTTTCTATTTGCCTGAAAAAATACTAATATGTATATAGCAAAGTCTGCTTCTTTTTCTAAAACAGTGGAAAGTATAACCCCAAATAAAATTATTTTCCTGGTCTCCATTTAGCAAATAATCTAGGCTTCTTAGAAGAGAACCTATCAATCTGGTTAATACTGTACCTCAAGGCTATCTATCTGAGTAAAACCATTTAAAAATAATATTTGTTTGGCTTTGATTGTGGATTACATATCAAACACCCAACTCCACCCCTACTGCTTTCTTATAAAAAGAAGCAGAATTATAGTTCCTAGTTCCATAATACATCAAATTTTCTACAAAGGGAAGCCAACATTCCCCTACTAGATTCTGAGGCCAGGTCTTTCTGTTATGGAAACTTTGACATTGGGAAGTGTTGGGGTAGGGTAATGCTGGAGCCCAGAAAAAAAAGAAAAGAAAGTTGAGGTATGAAGAAGTGTTTTGGAACATCGGCAGTTTTATTAGTGATTTTTATTCTTTTATGTTTTATTGAGGTTGCTTAGGATTATGATATGCCATATACATTTGTCTGAAGTGATATAGTTTCCTGCTAGAGCAGGGGGTTCAACTAGAACAACAGTCACCAACTGGTGGGCTGTGATAAAATGTTGGTCAGCCACAGAGAAATCCCACCCCCAGAGCACCCCCCACAAAGCAATTTAATCCAGGCTGCGCAGAAACACAAGTCTACTCAGCCCACATGGTCCTCCCCACCCACTCACTCCTTACCCAGCAAACTTGTCTGCTAAGTTGCTATTTTTTCCTTTTTCCAACCATCATCTGTTCTGCTGTGCTGGGAGATTTAGATTAGCTAGGAAGCAGGAAATGGTTGGATTTCTTGCTTTCTAGGTAAGCACAGCTGAACCTCCCTTAGGACTGAAGGTTTGCTTGCAAGCAAATTCAGTGCAGACTCATGGCAAGCAAATTTGAGAGACTGAGCTAGTCAATGGCAGATAGATCACTGAATGATTCTGTGAGCAACTCTATCTGCCTGCTTTGCCTGCTTTTGTGTAAAAGTTGCTCTTTTTTATAAAAAATTCAATATTTATATAAATATTTATAATGTTTACATACAAGCAATGCCCAGCCAGTCATATGATCACCAAGCCACACCCACAAATTAGGCCATGCCCGCAGAACCAGTTAGTGGTCCCTGGGATCTAAAATTATGAGTTTTGTGGTCCCTGAGGTACAAAAGGTTGGCGACCCCTGGACTAGAAGATCTCCAAGGTCCCTTCCAACTCTGTTATTCTATTATATATAAGATGGATCTTGTATAGAAACAAAGAAAGATTGGAAAAAGATACATGGGGTGTTATCTACAAAGCTAAAGGATCTTAAACCTATCCTCACTCCTCACTTTCCCACTCCCAAATGCAGGAAGTATTTAGACAAACCCTATAATTCATACCCTCCCAAGCTTGCAAAGGGAAAGAAATTATGTAAAGCAACAATAACAACAGGAAGTGAGCTGAGCAGCACAATTGTCTTTCATTGTCATCTCTTCTATGTTAGGGTGCTGAATAACATCTCTTCTATATCAGAGCACACAGAATTTCCAAATTGAATATTAGGATAAGCTCTGCCACAAGGTTTTAAATTAACTAGATCTACACATATTCATTCATAAAACAGATCCATTGAAATCATTGGGATTTAGTACAGTACTAATGGGATCCTAACAATTTTGATGAATTATTATCCTAAGTATCATGAGGTCAAGTCCTTTATTTCTACAATCAATGGCCACATTATGTTCATTATTGGTATTCATATTTTATACAAATTGTAGAACATGAGAGCCCAGTAATGTTGCCAAGAGTCCTCAGAAATCTTCTTGGATTTCTGAGGACTCTTTTCAATTATGAGCCCAAACACTCAGAACAGCAGAAAAAGAGTATCTACTCTATATAATATACTCCAACAAAATGGATATCTTAGCACCTTTATTAAAAAGTCATGCAACCCAATACCGAACAACCAACCCAAACTCTAAAAAGAATTACACTGCCATACATCAAGAATATCTTAGAAACCATCAACTGACTACTATATCCATATGGAATCAGCATAGGACATGTCAACTAAAACCCTTCAAAATATCCTAAGCAGACCAACAACCTCAGAAGAAAAAACAGGAGTCATCTACAAAATACAACGTAAGGATTGCAACAACCACTATGTAGGACAAAAAGGCAGAAGATGGGCAGAATGTATCCACAACACCAACTAGCAGTCAGAAGACATGATGAAGATTCTTTAATTTCACAACACAGAGAAAGATTTAACCATAGTTTCAATTGGGAAAATGTGACCATCCTAGACCAAGCCAAGTCCAAAAATGCCAGGGAATTTCTAGAAGCCTGGTGTTAGGAATATAAGTCACCTAACAGGTATTTGGGTTAGAAATATATAAACCAGGATAAACATTTTAAAACTGTATCTTTAAGAAAATGCAAAACTGTAATTAGGTGTGGTTTCTCAAATGGCCATAAGATGGAGCCAGAAACCTGGGTTGTTTCAGTCTTAGTCTAAGAAGAGAGTGTGTCTGAATGAGTATCTCTATTTCCTTCTGTTGGAAAGTGTTGCCTTCCTCCATTTTTCCTAATTGACTGCTATTTCTGGATTTAATGTAAGTCTGATACTGAACTGTTTTTTGACACTGGACTTTGTTATTGAATTATCACTGGATTGAAAACTGACTGATTTAACCTGTGAATGACTTTTGGACTGCTTATCTTGAACTTTGCTTAAACTGTCTGGAAGTAAAAACCTACATTTACTGTACAGTGTATCTGTGTGCTGTATGTGTAGTATTCAAACACTACTCTCAAATATGTCTCCCTGTATGCACTCATTCTCCTAACAGGGAATTACCTCAACACCTGGCACTCTGACAATTCGGCCATCAATATACACATAGGCATTAACAACATCTATTAGCTATGCAGAAAAGATGAATACCCAGACCCAAAAGGAACAAAAAGACCCAAGCACCTCTCCACCAGCAATCAGCACCAGATCAGCATAGAATAACTCCAAGGTTATCAGTGGTGGGATTCAAATAATTTAACAACAAGTTCTTTGCCCTAATGACTGGCTTGGTAGGCATGGTCAGGTCGTCATGTGACTGAGTGGGCATGGCCAACTTAACATCACTCTCATCACACCCAGCCCCGCCTCCAGGCCACTCTCCCTTTCCCCAGGCTTTGGGCCTATATGCAACACCTCCAGAAATGAAAGAGTTAACCAACCCTCAGTTTCCTAGTGCAAATGCCCCTCCCTATGAAAGGATGGTAAGAGACCAGCAAAACATTCTGCTCCCATCACCAAGGAAAGTAAGACATTGGAGGCTGAGCTTATTAAAAAGCAACCTATTGTGTCGTAACAGCCAACATTTCATACCTGAGGTTGCAGAGGCAATAATTCCCTTTGATTCCTCAGAAGCAATTTACAATTAAAGCCCATTTGCACAAATAATAAATAAATAGCAGAAGGAAAAGGATTGACAATACTTCTGTAAAAGCAATTCTGAAAGAGGCCAGGCTAAAGCTGGATTTCCTTCCTGGCTTGCTTGCTTGCTTGCTTCCTTTCTTCCTTTCTTCCTTCTCCTCCTTCCCATCTCTTTTCTTCCTTTCTTCCTTTTTCAACCTGTTTTTCAGTCCATTTTCCAGTTTTTTTAGCAGTTTTGGGGCCATCTTCAGGCTCTTTTTTGCTTGAAAAACACCAAAAAATTCCCCCCCAAAACAGTCTGAAAATGGCTGAAAAATGGGCTCAAAATACCCAAAAGTGACTCAGACAATGTCCTAGAAAACTGCCCAAAATGGGCCAAACAATGGGTGGGAGTGGGGCCAGCCAGTGGTAGGATTAGCCGGTTCACTGAACTGGGCAGAATTTTAACAAGCAGTTCACTTGAACTGGTCCGAATCAGATGAATCCCACTTTTGCATCAGACCAACAATCAAGTAAACAATACCCCAATGAAGAAACTGCCAAAGAAGCTAACAACAAACAACCCAATCCAAGAATCTCTAAAACCACCCCCTCAACATTCACAGACAAGCCACCAGAATATAAACTGTCAGCAAACTGTACTCCTTAGTAGCACTGATGATGTTACCTAGTTTGAGTAATGAATGTCTACAAGAAAACAAGCAAGCTCAAAGAGTACTAAAGACCCCTCATGTCAACCCTGAGCATCAAATATGCTCCTTTATTAGTATCCTCTTGTTGCTGATATTTTACTAGTAACTCCAAAATTCAGGTTACTTGCATAATTGGCTTGCCCTGTATATCTTTCACTATATCTTGTTTCTCTGGTGTTAAAATCTATTACTGTACTAGAACAGTAATACTGCAGCAAGGTGATTTAAACATACCCATTTAAAACTAAATGTAATAGTATTACACCCTGTGTTGGGACTTACAGTAGATGGGAAAGAGCCAAGATAAGATTGTTTTTAAAACTTAAGAATGTCTGTTCTTCAAGAGATCACTTAATTATTTCTTGAAGAAAAGGAAAAAATAATGGAGGAGTTCATTGCACCTTAAAAACATTTCTTTCATTTCTGTAGGAGTAAAACAGTTCATGGACGAATTGTTCAAGATAAGAAATCCATCCATTACAATTGGAGTTGCTCCTTTTGTCTTTTTGTCATGAAACCTGAGTAGCTGCAATGAAGAGAAATCTATTTACTGAAGCATCTCCCGTTCTTGCTTCTAAAAACTTTACCATGACACTATGGCTTTATTTTTTGGAATTAATAATACGTTTAGTTATCCACAGAGTAAAGATCAAATTTCAACCTGACTCTAGTTCAGGTTGAATCATCATTATTTTGATGATTCAAGTGTATTAATTAACCTTGGGATGTAAATAAATCCACCATACATTCCTCTTGGGCCAGTTTTATTTTTTTTTTTCCTCAGAGGAATTTAGGATTGAGCAAACAACAGAACACCAAAATTAAGAAAAAATGGAATTGTTTAATTACTTTTAAAATGTATTTTAAAATGTATTTTTAAAGAAGACTCTCTCTTTCAGTTTGTTTTATTTTTTTAAACCTCTGGCTTTCCTTAAGTAGGTAGGCTGCTGGTTTTTTTTAAGTGCTATCCTAATCTGAACTAATGCAGCCTGACATGTGTGCATGCATGTGCACAAGTGCACACACACACACACACACACACACAGATCTGCACATTCCTAATTTGTAGAAAAATAAAAAAATGCTTTCATTAGTGAATTTTACCTTGGGATTTTAGAAACCCATGGATGTAGGAGTAACTTCACTGAGATCCTCTAACACCAGTAGTTTATGTTGTAATTTGGTGCAATGCCCAATCACACATACAGATTTATTTCCAATTTGTTAGCTGTTTCAAACAATGTTGATATAATAAGTTGTTCTGCATGAAATGATACGAGTAGCAGATCCTTACAGCTGCTGAGCATTGTTATATTGTGTCAATTTGACAATATATGGTTTTCTTCTATGGTTGCTTGTAGGCCTGTATGTCAGCGACAAAGTCCTCCACCTCCTGGTTTTACGCTATGGAGACTCAACCCAGAGAATAAACTTTCCTGATTTTGTGTGCTGTATGTTTCGTCTTGAAACAATGTCAAGTAAGTGGTACACTCAGCAGGTATTTGATGCACTGAGCAGCAGCAAAATAAAGTGGTCCTGCAATAAAGCATGTGTAAAAGATTTCACCTTGAATGGGAATCTATTTTCTGATTGTTCACTCTCTACTTATCCTGTGCTAGGAATAATACCCTTTGTATTCCAAACTATTTAAAAGGAAAAGATATCCTATATGAAGGGCAGAGATGAGAGGTTACATGGGGTGGTGATGGTGGTGAAGTGATGAGTACAGAGTGGCATACCATCATCTGTGAAAGGGAGCTTCCAAGGCCAGCTTAGGAAGAGGTAGCAAGATGGAGCCAACAGTTCATGCAGGACAGGTGTCAGACATCCCTGTAAACCAGACAAGAGACATTAGATGAATTAATTTTATTTTATTGTGAAGCAACATTAAGAGAATCTTGCATGTCTGAAAGTACGGATTTTCTATCTCCGCTTTAACTGCTTGATCCATTAGAGCAGGTCATTCCTAAGTTTCTTTGTCTGACATATTGAGCTAGTGAGGGCTCTTTTATCCCATTGTTTTCTAGACAGCATCTCTTCCCTTCAATCCCCAAGGTCATCTACACATTCTATCAAACCAGGAGATGTGTGAATCCTTGCCTAACAACCACAACCAGGACTACTTGAAGTGTTGTTGCTAAGCAGTGCAGTCACACGACGTTTTCCCCAATGACCTCTTTGCTTCAATATGAAAATTCCAGTCCCAATTAATACTGTTAAGCAAGGACTACCTGTAATATCAAATTAACCAAAGATTTTCAGGATCGGAAAATGCATTTTTCTTGGATTCACTTGAAGCAACCTGAAAACAGAACGCAAATAATAGGGTTCAATGAAATGTAACATCTCCAATTATATAAGTTGCCAACAGATGGTAATACTTATGTGCTAGAACCTTATATGTGTTCTTTTACTGCAGTTGGTAGAAAGTTACAATTGTGAAAAAATATATCTTTAGTAATTGGTCTCCTTACCAAATTGAACTTGAATAGTATTATGATATTTATTTAAGTGAAAGGTCAATATAATCAGTTAATATCACTTTTTAACTATTCTTATCATATTTTAAAAAATTTTATACCCAGTTTTTATATTTTTAACATTTATATGTTTTTAACATTTTATTTGTACATTATCCGGGGTCTCTGTGTGAGGGAGATGGGGGGTTTCCAAATTTGATAAATAAATAAAATAAAGTTTGTGTTGCTACTGTTTGTGAACTCAAAGGAACTTTTTCAAAAGGCAACTGGACTGGGTTTTTTTTTTTCCTTGAGGGAGAAAAAGACAGTCCAGTTACCTTTTGAAAAAGCACTTTTGAGACAACTATTACCTGGCTGGATGATGAGAATTTCCACAGTCACTTATTGTTTATGGAATAAAAGCATGAAGTCAGTCCATTTCAAGCAATATGCTGTGACTGAATGCTTTACTGCCGAAGTATGATTAGTAGTTTATGGTCATAACTATGTTTGATATGAGTACTGGGAACTGCTGGGCCAAAAAATGTAAAGAGGGACTAAAAAGAGATGCTTTATGTTGCTGAGAATGAAGTGGATAGCTTGTGACAACAACTGATAAGTTTTACATGTGAAAAGTTGATGAACTGATTAAGGACAATAAGTGAAGAAATTGGTGTCGAGCTTGGCATTTCACAGGAAAATATGAGTTACATTATTGATGTTCTTCAGCATTGGATTTTTATGTGCAAAATGAACTCTGCATACTGATAGAACAGATGAAAGCTTTAAGAGTTGAATTGGCAGCCACTGTCATACTACAAAAATGAAGGTGAGCGAACTGACAAAATAAAGCATTAGTCCATTAATATATAGTTATATGAATATATATATATGAATATATGCTTCATTAAAAAAAAAAACCAGGTTTCAACTAGAAAACCTATAGTTACAGTTTACAGAGATGCAGATGGTGTTATCCACACAAATTTCCTTGAAAGTGGCACACTGTGAATTCAGAGTGCCATCTTGTAAACTTTGTAAACACTGATTCAAAATTTTGATTTGAATTAAGGTTTGATTAAGCAGAGCTCAAAACTCAAGAAGGAAACATTGCTACAATGTGACGGTCCAAAGCCCCGCACCTGAAAAGCCACCCAAAAATGTAAATTATCACAGCATACAGTCTGAGCTAAGAATGTGTTTTCCATCTATCCCAAAACTGAAGGAAAATCTTGTGGATATCTGACTTACTCAAATGAAATATTCTTATTTAAACTAAAGTTATGGAGGTATAAGTACCAGTTGTTTTAGAAGTTTTTTTTTATTGAAGCTCATGGGTGTATTTACTGTTGCAAAGTAATAGTGCTGGTGATATTTATTTTGCAATATCTTTTCCCATCATTCAGAAGCCTCCATTGGCTAATATACACAAACCGGTATGGGAATTAGTCCCTCGTGATGGTTTCCTAATTGAAGCATGGGAAAGAGCTGGAGAGACAAATGTAAACTGAGCATGTACATCTGCATTCAGATGGACACACACACATGTTTGCACACACAAACTATTAAGTATGGGAAATAAGAGGCTGAACCAGGGCTTAGTGCAACAA